GAGGGATTATTTGGGACTGTATCGAAGACTTGGTGTTGACAACATTTCCATCTTCCCCCTCCCCTTCGCCTAATCCCCCCTCTTCTTCGTCTGTGCATGATCGGGGACCGACGCATTCTTCCTGTGTGAGCGTCAGCCCCCTTCACACCATGGAATGATGACGATGCATGTTTGGTCTGCATGGCAGCTTGATTGCTCTCTTGTATCGAGTGAGAAAGGTCGGTTCTTGGTCTGGTCTGTACCGTTAGGGTATGCAACAGTTTGGTATCGGAGCGGACCTTTTTCATCAAGATCCGCCCAATCAAGTAGTCAGCTTGCTTGATCTACTGATTGATGATTGATTGATTAGTAAATCAAGTAGGGTTTCGTCAAAATCTCTGCAAATCTTTTTTCTTTTTTTTTCGTTCTTTTTCGCAACTTTGGATATTAGCATTTCGTTTTTTGCATTTCGTTTTCACGCAACAAATATCCGAAAATTTCTGATAATAACATTTCGTTTTATCATAAAAGTTCCTATATTTTCACTTCTTTGTTTTTACGTAACAAATATCCGAAAATTTATGATAGTAGCATGTCGTTTTTCTGACGTTAGCATCTCGTTTTCTAGGCACATTAGGGTTATGACGAAGGTTGTCATATTCGGGGAAAGTTGGGAAACGGAATTTATCCTTTTCTGAAAATCGAATCTCCATCCAACTTTGCAAAAAGTTGGTCTCTGAAAGCCGAAATTTTGCGAAGCCTATCAGCATTTCGTTGCTAGACACAATAGGAGGTTGTCATATTCTCAGAAACGGAATTTATTTTTTGCTGAAAATCGACCCTTTATCCTACCTTGCCTAGATCTCACTCATAGCATTGTCCATAAAATGCCTCACTGATAACAGATCGACAGATATACAAAAAAAAAAGAGAAGGGGGGGGTTGATCCGCTTCTTTTATTTTTTTATTTTTTTGATTCTGTTGATTAGGACCGTCATGGAAATAGCAGTTTGGTGGTTTGCCTGTGTTTCCCTCCCACCCAGCCCCCTGTCTGTTTCTCGGCTTGGTAAGTGCCACGTCAGCAGGCCACGACAGTAGTGGTGCCACGTCAGTAGCAGTGCCACGTCAGTAGCAGTGCCACGTCAGCAGTGCCACGACAACAGTGCCACGTCAGCAGGCCATGACAGTAGCGGTGCCACATCAGTAGCAGTGCCACGACAACAGTGCCACATCAGCAGCAGGGCCACGTCAGCAGCAGGGCCACGTCAGCAGTACCGCATCATCAACACCGTACAGCTAACTGCAGCTTATGGTCCGACGCAGCAACCGCATCGCAGCACGAGAAGGGTGGGAAGCCGCAGCAGAACAGCAGCTACCTCTGCCCCACCCCTCTGAAATGGACACCCAGGGCAACCCCACGGTGGACAATGCCGCATCCGGCAGTCCACGTGAGGCGTGCAGCTCGAACCCCCCGGGCCCCACAGGCCCAGCAGGAGGGTTCCAGCTCGACGCTGCACCAGTCCGGCAGCAAGGAGAGACCATGACGGCCTTCCTGGCCCGCCTGGGCATTTATATGCAGCAAGTCCAAGAGGAGCAGCAACACGAAGCGGCAGCCGAAGTAGCACGCCTTAATGCCATTGCACGCGCAGAAGAGCAACGACGCTGGCAGCAAGCTGACGCAGCTGCCAACCACAACAAAGCTCGAAGAGATGCCGCGTCTGTCCTCATGCAGCAGGAAGCCGCTCATACCGCCGCACTCCAAGCATGGCATGTTGATCCGGCGGAAACGATGGAACCAACTACAGAGGACCAGACTAAGTCAGCTCTCGCCAGCATGATGCACCAAGTCATCCTCACTTGTAACTGGCAACAAGTGGAGCTCGCTCGGCAGGCACGTATCATTACTGAGTATGAGGAGACTCTCAAGAGCCTCCACGCCTGCCTTGACATCCTGGAGAAGGATGACGTGCCACACAGGCACATGACATCGTCAAGCATGGATCCACCGATCCGCGAGCTGGAAGAACGACTTGAACAGTTTCCGCACCCGACGACCATCAGCCAGCAAATAGCCGCCCTACAAGCGGATCTGCGTCAACTGCAGCAGCAACCAACTGGGACCTGCAACAACGTGACGCCGAAACAATTCAAGATGGCGAAGTTCAGCATCGACAGATTTGACGACTACCACAAGGCGGACCCCATCAGTTGGTGACAAGGATTCACCAATGAGCTCTCCATCCACTTGGTCCCGCCCGAGTCGAAGATCTCAGCGCTTTACCTCTGCAGCACCGGTGCCAGCCAAGTGTGGCTCAACCACCTGGCTCAAACCGAGGGCGTTGAAGTCTCTAAGCTTCACACCAAGATCACTTGGGAGGCCATGACTGAGAAGTGGCGGAAACGTTTCATCGTCGACGACGCTCAGGGCAAAGGCGTGAACCGGATCTTCAGCATGCATCAAGGCAGCCAGCCAACACGCGAATTCCTAACCGAGTGGCAGAAAATCGTGACGATTCTGAATTTGGACATTCCATCCGTACACCTTCGTCGCGAATTCTTCCAGCGGTCAGTTGACGCGTTGAGCACGGCCCTTGGGGAGCGCAGCCTATACACGGACTTCGACCAGATCGTGGAGAAGGCGCGCAAAGTCATCCAAACCAATCGGTGGGCAGCCAACGAGCGGCGAAGCCAACCGAATTTTGTGGAAAAGGGCAAAGGCCCGCAGCCGCAGCAAGTCGCTGCTGTCCAAGGAAATGGGCAAGAGAACGACCAGGCGATGATGACTCACGAGTCTAGTTAAGGAGACGGAGTCAACGCCCTTCCGCCACGACGCAACAACAAGAAGAAGAAGAAGAAGGCGAAATCAGCGTCAACAACGGAAGCCAGACAGCCGAACGAGCCATGGAAGAAGTTCAGCCTCTTGGAGGAGCAATACAAACTCTGCCAGAGGTGGAACTGTTGCTACTGGTGCAACAACACCAAGCATACGACGTCGCAATGCCCTGACAAAGGCAAAGAAGACGTTCATCCACGGCAAAGCTCAGGAAACTGAGCTTCGCGGAAAGTGAGGTGACTCCACTTCCTACTCCGCCGGACACAGTTGCCTTGTTAACAACCTCCTCCACGTCCGGGGAACATGCGTATGTCGCCAGTCTTCGCGAAGATTATGAAGACTATGTTGTCCAGCTGGTCCCGCAATTGGACCAACCTCTCCACGTGCAAGACTCAATTGCGTGTGCGACTTCATCACCATCGCCAAGTGAACCAGCATCCTCACCAACATCACTCGGGGACTCATCGGTGTGGTCTAGACTTGAGGAAATCGACCCATTGACACCGGAGGACTTCCAATGGTTGCCTCTTCCCCCATCTGGTTCCTTGCCGAAGCCGCATTGCAACGCCCTAATGGTGGAGCTACGCAACTACTTCACGCTGCAGTACCAGCTCCGTTGATGGAAGACGGAGTAGCGGTTGTTGACCTTCGCGAGTACATTGCGAAGATTGACCGCGAGTACACCATGCAACGGTATGGCGACACCGACGCACCGTTACTCTACGTCCGCATTCAGATCGGGAAGGCGACCTGCAGCGCCTTGATTGATTGTGGAGCTACTCGCAACTACATCAGCCAGGATCATGACCCGCGTCGGCCTTGGGCCGCACGTTCGAAGGAAATTGCAGCCCACGCAAGTCACGTTGGTCGACGGTCGTACGCACAAGTCCATTGACCGGTGCATTGACTCCGTCCCCGTGTACTTCGCCCCGCTTGCACGCGAGGCCGTGTCCTTTGACATATTGGACACAAAGTTCAACATGATCTTGGGCATGTCATGGCTGCGCAGCGAGGACCACCCGGTGAACTTCTACCGCCGCACCGTTCACGTTCGTGATTGGAATGGGGTACTTGTGCCATGTACGGTCCCCCCACCTCATCCTTCGATTGGTTGTCACGTGGTCTCCGTGGCAAGCATTCGCAACTCCATCACACGGAACGACGTGGAGGAAATGGGCATTTGTTTCTTGCACTCCCTCCCTCCTCCCGACGAGCCAGTGGCGGAACAACCACTGGATCCACGCATTGTACAACTTCTTGACTCCTATGGCAACGTCTTTGAAGCCCCCGCCGGAATCGTACCGAATCGACCAATTCGTCACGAGATTATCCTCGAAGACGGGGCCGTACCTCTGCGCGGATGTATTTACCGCATGAGCGAGGAGGAACTCGAAGTGCTTCGAGCGCAACTCGATGACCTCATTGACAAGGGCTGGATTCGGCCTAGCTGCTCGCCCTACGGTGCACTTGTTCTCTTCGTTCGGAAGAAGAACAAGGAACTGCGCTTATGCATTAACTATCGCAAGCTTAATGCTCAAACCATTAAGAATGTCGGCCCGCTTCCACGCATCGACGATCTTCTCGACGGAGTTTCGTGACATGTTGGACCGGTTCGTGCTCATTTACCTCGATGACATCATGGTGTATAATTGAACTTTGGACGAACACATCGTGCATCTACGTGCTGTTTTGGACAGGTTACGTACGGCCAAGTACAAGGCTAACCGAGCCAAGTGCGAATTCGCACAGCAAGAGCTCGAGTACTGGGGCCACTTTGTGACGCCGCAAGGCATCAGTCCGCTTGCGGACAAAATCAAGGCCATTCAGGATTGGCCGGAACCGACCAACACCACGGAGGTTCGCTCTTTCATGGGATTGGATGGGTACTACCAACGCTTCATCGGAGGATACGCACGAATCGCCACACCTTTGTCCAGATTGCAGTCTCCACAGGTGCCCTTCCAGTTCACCGACGAAGTCCGCAGTTCGTTCCACAAATTGAAGACGGCGTTGCTCCTCGCCCCCGTCTTGAGTATCTATGATCCCACCTTGCCTACGAGAGTGACTACGGACGCTTTCGGCTACGGCATGGGTGCTGTTTTGGAACAACACGACGGAGTAGATTGGCATCCAGTTGAGTACTTCAGCCAAAAGGTGCCACCCATCAACTCCTTTGATGATGCGCGGAAGAAGGAGTTGCTAGCGTTCGTCACGGTACTAAAGCGTTGGCGACACTTCCTCCTCGGGCGTCGTAGGTTCACTTGGGTGACGGATAATAACCCATTGTCCTACTACAAGACGCAAGACACGGCGAGCAGCACGATTGCTCGATGGATGTACTTCATCGATCAGTTCGACTTCACACCGAAACACATTCTGGGCCTCTCCAACCGAGCCGCGGATGCTCTCTCGCGAAGATCATATCTTTGCACAGTGACTCACCACGCGTTCAGTTTCGACGAAGCCCTTCATCAACATTTTGTGCAAGCATACAACTCCGATCCGGAATACGGCACGCTCTACGAGCAACTATCCTCGGATCACCCGCCGGCCAGCCATTATTGCATCGTCGATGGCTACCTGCTGCTTCACTCACGCGGCAAGGACTTACTATGCTTCCCACATGACCGTCGCCTACGGACTCGCCTCCTCGGAGAGTACCACGACTCGAGACTCGCTGGCCACCTCGGCATCAACCGTACGATCGCAAGACTTCGGCAACGATTCCGGTGGCCSGACCTCRTTACCGACGTCACTCGGTATTGCGACTCTTGTGAAGTTTGCCGACGAAGCAAACCCCTCAATCGCAACCCCTACGGTGAGTTACGCCCATTGCCTATTCCACGGGAACCCGGCCTCTCCATTGCCATGGACGTCACTGACCCGTTCCCCCGGGACCGCTTCGGGCACGACGACATTCTCACGGTTATTGACCGTTTGAGCAAGTACGCACGATTTCTTCCCTGCAACTACTACGCCACGGCTCCTGAACTTGTGCGCCTCTTACACACCGGGTGGATTTGCGGCCACGACGTTCCGAAAGACATCGTCAGCGACCGCGACACTCGCTTCATGTCGGCATTTTGGACCTCTCTCATGAAAGAGTCCGGCACCGAGATGAAACCAAGTTCGGCTCGGCATCCGCAAACGGACGGGCAGACGGAGCGGGCACATCAAACCGCTCAAGTAATGCTTCGCACACTCATCCGTACGGATCAGAAGGATTGGGTGGACCGCCTCCCCAACATCGAATTTACCTACAACACTTCGGTGCACCCGGCGATCGGCGTGACTCCGTTCGAGTTACACCACGGTGGCCGGAAAGGCCGCATCTTCGCTGATCTTCCTTTTCCAAGGACTGTCGACATTGACCCCGCCTGTTTGCCTGCCTCCGTTCGGAAGTATAGGGACTTGTTGGCTAAGGCCCGCCCCAACATGCAAAAGGCTCAAGTCCTCATGCAACAGCAAGCTAACAGGCGTCGCGTGCCATGCCCCATCCGCACCGACGACCTTGTTTGGGTCTCCACGGAAGAGTTGGCACTCGAGCAGGATGTATCCCGCAAGCTACTTCCAAAGTGGTTTGGACTATGGCCCGTCATATCAGCCGCGGGTGATGAGCCCAATGGCCCCTCATTTGTGATCGAAATCCCGCCGCATCTCACGGTGCACCCGGTTTTCCACGCCTCCAAGCTGGCCACATATACACCAGCCAAGAGCGATGACTTCCCGGGACGACGATCACAGGACCCTCCTTCCATGGATGGTCATCAGGAAGTCGACCGCATCATCACGCATCGCAAGCACGGCAACAAGCCTATGCAGTACAAAGTCACATTCAAGTGGTGCGACCCCGATGACACGCGATGGATTTCCCGGGCAGCTTTGCGAGCCTCCGCTCCTGACATCTATGCTCATTATGAGAAGAAACGGCTAGCGACCTCCCTCCACCAGACAGCTTCGCCCTAGCAGGTAAGCTCGGTCTTTCAAGCAGGGAGGAGTGTGGCATACTCCGTACCACACGGGCCCAGCAGAGCCCGACCTGGTAGATTAAGGGTCCGTAGGGGTAGAACCTGTTTCGTTTCAGCCTAAAAGCCTGAAACGAGGGCCTACAGGCCCTGCGTCGTTTCGGCCTCCAGCCTGAAAACGACGGGCCATTTTCAGGCCCTCGCAAGATCGACCTACTCTGAAACTCAGGCACCAGACCGGGGTTTTAGCTCGGGCCATTATGGCCTATTTTGTGGAGCGTCAACCCCAGGGTCTGGCACGGTTTGGCATAGGCACGAGCAGACTCCCGGACGGGCCAGCACTATATAAGGCTGACCCGCCCTGTAGGCTGCAGGCAGTTCGCAGGCAGCTCACGGGCAGTCACGAGGCAGTTCCCAGGAACTTCCCATGCACCTCACGTGCCGACGACGGGAGGCAGTCTTCAGGACTCGGCAGCGGCACTCTGGAGGAGTAGGAGCGGTAGCAGTAGTCTTCAGCGCTGGGTGCTAGTAGGGAGAGAGAGAGAGATGGTTGGCGGAGGCCAGGGAGACTCACCTGCGGCGCCATAGCTCCAGCTTCGTCTTCGATGTACCTGCAGCAAGGCGCCACCTTTACNGGCGGAGGCCAGGGAGACTCACCTGCGGCGCCATAGCTCCAGCTTCGTCTTCGATGTACCTGCAGCAAGGCGCCACCTTTACAGGTTAGTATCGGACACAGAGAGAGAGAGAGAGAGATTGAGTTCTTCTTCTTCCTCCTCTAAGTCCACCATCTCGTCCTCACCTTCTCGCCCCCTGACTTCTCTGTATCTACCGGCTAAGAGAGAGAGAGAGAGAGAGAGAGAGAGAGAGAGAGATGGGTGACATTGGGATTTGACGACATTTGGGTTCAGCCTCAGCATCGGGATTCAGACCTTTGGCGAGGGATTATTTGGGACTGTATCGAAGACTTGGTGTTGACGACATTTCCATCTTCCCCCTCCCCTTCGCCTAATCCCCCCTCTTCTTCGTCTGTGCATGATCGGGGACTGACGCATTCTTCCTGTGTGAGCGTCAGCCCCCTTCACACCATGGAATGATGACGATGCATGTTTGGTCTGCATGGCAGCTTGATTGATCGGATCATTGGTATTTAAGTCTTCCGTTGTGCGATCTTGTCTCGAGTGAGAAAGGTCGGCTCTTGGTCTGGTCTGTACCGTTAGGGTATGCAACAGAGAGAGAGAGAGAGAGAGAGAGAGAGAGAGAGAGAGAGAGAGAGAGAGAGAGAGAAACTTACCTGCTCGTCATTTTGCTGGCGGCAATTGCCGCAATCTTGAAGAACCTGTGTGTATCATTTCAAGTTGATCGTAGTGTGTGGATCTTGCTGTGGCGACTTGGATCTTTCTTTTTTTGTTGCTCCACAGAATTGACAAGCCGCCACTTGATCTGCATACGTGGATTAATTCATAGGCACGTTTTGCAAGCCTTTTGCTTACTTCCTTGTTCCTTTCTTCTCACAATTCGTTGTTTAAGCACTTTCGTTTTTTTGCTCTTGGACTCTCTTTGCTGTTTCATCGATTTTCGACTTCTCGGTTTTAATTTCTTTGAATCTTTCTTCTTTACCCAGAAAAAAAACAGCAAACACTTGAGAAACATTGAAAGCAAAACAGAAGACACAAACCTGAAAGTTGTATTTGTTGTTCGCCAGGTCAACAAAGAAATCTTTTGGATATCCCATCCCTCTTCCAGCAACCTCCAGGCTTACTTCTCGTGAACTTGGAGGCACTTTGTCAAGGTTTGCCCCTGCGGTGATGAAGTCGCACTCCAGTTTGTTCTTCCCCCGGAAGTTCTGAGTAAATCTGACAACACACAACCAGGTGCAGTCATAATACACTGCACGTGAGCACACAACTATAAACACTGCACAAGATCAGATCAATATTATTCACAGTCGGACATTGTACCCATACTGCAGCGGGTACAGTCATACATGGTCGGAAGTTGCCCACAGAAGGAAGAAGGAAGAGAGGAACATAACTTACATAAGCAAGATGCAGGTAGTAACAGTGATTCATCATGCACATTCAGAGTTATATTTTTCAAGTTGCCAGAAAAACATAATGCACAAAAACACGTATGTAGCAGAGACACTGTGAGAGAGTAAACTACAGTTATTGGAAATCAGCACAGGTCTGCATTTGCACAGCCACAAGGAGTACCAAGGCGGATACTATCTGACCATTCAACCAAGTACACAAAACTGTCGGCACTGGTTTGCGGGTAGGTTGCACATGATACCACCTCCCTCCTCACATGACAGTGCAATGAATTGCAGTGCTACAAGCGAGCTGTATACTAATTTTGTCCCTGTCCTCGTTTGCGGGACTTGATCCCACAACCTTTGTCTGCTGTGTTGCCTGTTTGTTTGTTGTTTGGTTGTTTTGAGCCTTGGACTTGATCCCGTGACCTGTAACCTGTGTGTTTTGTTTGTGAGTGTTGAGCCCTATGGGACTTGATCCCTGAGTCTATTACTAGTAGTCTCTGTTTGGTAGTCCTAGCCATTCGGCCTTTTCCTTTTGCATTGTCATAGGTCCAGGTCCCTTTTTCCCTTGTTTCCATCTAGATACAGACGAGTCTTGGGTTGTTGCCTTTGGAGTCCCTCGGAGGTCTAGGCAGAGGGTAGAAGTAGCGGGCAGGAAATTCGGTCCGGGTCTTTTCTCGTCTTTTTGCTGGGGAAACTCTGCCCGCCCGTTGCGGGAGCGTTGCTGCGTTATTTTGGGTGAGGGCATCTTCTCCCTCGAAGCCCAGCCATAGCCGGGGCTGGGAAACGAAATTGAAGATCTCACTGCTGCTATTTAGCAGCTCTGTACGAGAGCTTCCACAGGACTGTGTTGCTGGGTTTGGGTGCTGCCATTCTCCACTTGGCAGCCATATCTGCTGTTCTTCCTCGTGAGGAACTTCATCTTTGTCCTCTTCGAAGTGCAGGATCGGTTGTCTCCTTCTTCATCAGGACTTCCAGCACCTGCACGGAAGGACTTCCAGTGCTGCACTTCCGTGCAGGCGCTGAGCTGGCGCTGCTATCATTGGGGTTTCTGGTTCAGATTGGCACGTTGTGACAGCTGTGGGGTTACTGCTGATACGGCAGCCATAGCCAGGGGTATGAGGTGGCGAGGAGGAAGAAGAAGACTCCCGCAGACTCCGTTGAACACTTGTTTTTGGTTGTTGGGGGTTGTTGTAAGCGTGGTTGTGATTCTTGGAACATGTACTCTGGATTGATAGGAGGAGGACGGAGGATTACAGAATTTAAATTCGTTTTTCAATTCTGTGTATTTTGAGCTTCCGCTGTGCATATCTTCTCTCCGGTTTTGTGTGGATTTGCCTCCTACAAGTCTACTCTGCAATTGCATGCGTGTATGGGAACAAGTCAATTCGTTGTGGATTGAAGTTCAATCGGGTACATAACAGTTGGTATCGGAGCTGCAACAGTGTGCCCACGGCGAGCAATTGAGTGGCAACCACCTTGCTGAGCGGCGGTTGGAGTGGTGCCCACGTGCCGTCCGCTTTCTTCAATGGACGTCGTTGGTGAGAGGTGGTGAAAGGTAGTGTGCGAGGGTAGAATTAGTGCAATCACAAATAAAAAAAAAAAAAAAAAAAAAGGGTGGAGTGGTGGAACGATTTCAAGAAGTTTCAACCGGCGAGAAGTGGCGTTGACCGGTGCGTCAACCCTAAGTGGTACGGTTGGCACAGTAGACCTGAGTGTCGGGTGACCCTCAAGTCGCAAACCTTGCCCACAGATGGCAGGGGACAACCGTTTGGGCCGCTGCTGGGGTTATTTCGACGAGGCATTGGGATTGGACGATTCATGAAATCTCCGCTGCAGGTGATGTCGACATCAGACTGGTCTACTTTATCTTGCGGCAGATTGGCGGTCAACGGTTGACCGGCCAGATATCTTCAATCAAGTTTCGTCCAAGTGAGTTCGTTCCTGGATTTCTTGGCCGTCATGAGACCCTGTCAGTCTTTGTCAGAGTCTGTCAGTCGCCCATCCGTGTGCAGTCTATGTCAGATAGGTTGTCAGGTGTTAGTTCCTGTTTCTAACCCCCCCTTTGAATGTATTTTAATCTATAAATGGGGATGCAATTAACCGCTTCCGATCTGCTGTGATTGTGCAGTCAGTCCTGTGTGTGCCAACCGAAAACGGTGGCTGATTATCAGTCCGTTGCGGTCTGTCTCTCAGTTCTGTCAGTCGCCAATTACAATTGTCAGTCAGAAAATGGAACATTAGGTAACACTCTGTCGGTGATTTGATGGCAGATTGTTAGTACAATGGCATATTCCGTTTTGATTAGAATATGAACCATCGCAGACTGTACTAGTGGTATTTGAAATCCGCTCCGGTTCTATTTTTTTCCTGATTGCATTGAAAAAGTATATCTTCCCCTTGCTGTAGAATGCTAATTGTTTTGGGAAGGCTCTGCAATGAGCCTGATCACAAACATCATTGCCTTGTTGATCGGGCTGCATGCTCAGACATGGCCATTCTGTTGAAGGTTTTGGCCGTTGGCCTGAGCCTGTTATCTCCCGGACTGTTTTCTGACATTTACCACTACCTGTCGTAAATCCCAAACCTTTTGTAATCTTCTATTAAACAGCACAGATAAATTCTTTTTATTTGTGTTCTGCATGTGAACGGTAATCATAATTTTTTATTTTTTTTATCTCTGTTATTTCAACTTATTTGTTTTCTGACAAATGAAATTATGAGAAGACCATTATGGCCACTGAGGACAGGGCTAAGGGACCTGCTGAAGGCGGGGATACGTCTGTGAAGCCTGAACCAGGCAGGGAAGATCAGGATCCCCTGACTGAGGAAGAACTCGTGGACGCAGGCCTGAAAGCAGCAGAGAAAGTTGTTGCAGATGCAGTTCGGGAAGTAGAGAGATTAAAGAAGGAGAAGGCGAAAGCAGCTAGGAGAGGTGAAGCAACAACCAAAAGATCTGAGCTGCTGGATAGTATTGCTAAGGTCCCTGCTGACGCCCATGTGGCTGATATCACTTGGAATCTTGCAGAATTGCTACTGCTGGAATCCGCTCACAACCGGGATGTTTTTACATGTTGGGATGAACGGATTTCAGCAGTTGAGTCCCAGTTGTCATCCATTGATAGCAAGCTGGGAAAGTTGTCAGCAGCGTTCTTCCGGCATTTCCCTCCTACTCATGTACCCTCTCCTCGCCCTACTGCCCCTCCTCCTCTTAACCCTCTTCCGACACCCACAGCACAATCATCCCGTCCTGGCTCTCCCAAGACTCCACCACCTCCTCCAAAAAGAGAAGGTGGCGCAGGTCTCTGGGACTGCCCACAGGGGGTTCGAGTTCCAGCACTGTGCAGCCGGAACTGTGATTTCCCAAGATGGCCCAGCCTGAGAAGTTCACTGGGGAAGACCCCAAATTGGACGTCTCACACTGGATAGCCCAGATGAGGTCTTACCTCAGGGGCTATACCTGTCCAGAGGTCGACAACGTACGTGCCGCAGTGGCCCTCCGGGCAGGGGCCGCACTAAAGTGGGCAACTTTTGAGGCCAGCAAGGCTCAAAAGCAGCTGGATGATTGGATTGTTGTCATTGGTTTGGATGCTATCTTTCAGGGTCTGGAAACCAGGTTTGCAGATCAGGAAAAGGCTCGCAAAGCAAATGATGAGCTTGTGAGACTAGGTCAAAGTAAGTGGCGTGGATCACTCTCCAAGTTCTATGCAGAGTGGGAGAAACTAACCTCCACACCTGGTTTGGAAATGTATGAGCAGGATAAGTTGACATCGTTTGTCAGGGCTGCTCCAGAGACATATGCCAAGACCCTGTTTATTGCAGGCCACAAAGACTGGAGGTCTTTTGGCAGGGCAGCGCTGGACATGGAGGCCACACTCCATCTCCAGACCTCTTCCCAAAGGGAAAGCACCTCCTCTTCCCAGAACAGGAGAAAGGGAAATTGAGGATTGTATGTTGCAGGATCTAATGATGACTCTGCAGGCTCTGACCAGGGAGGATTTGTTCCCTCAAATGGTCTAGATGCAGGAGCCACACCAGATCAGGCTGCCCTGCTGTTGGGTCAGACTCTTATGAGCCTGATGAAAGGCAAAAGTCAGTTTCGACCCCAAAGGCCCTCCAATCCTACGGGTTCAGGCAAACGCACAGGTGGCCCGCAGGTACCCAATCTTCCAAAGGGTGCCACCTGCCCAGCTAATCCCATGGATCCTGCCATTTTCCCCTGGAGAAATCTCAAGATTGTCGAGGGGATATGGCAGAAAAGAAAGGATCAGGGAGTTTGCCTCAGATGTGCTAAGAAGCACTTTGTGAAGGACTGCCCCACGTGGGGCACTAACAGTTAAAAAAACTGAACAGGCCAGCAGAGGTAGCAGCCACCCCTGTTGAACTGCATTCACCCTCTTTCGAAGGTGAATCATTCTCTGAGCCTAATTGTGGTGAGGCTGCAACTGACTCTTTGTATGAGTACATTGAGCCTTTCTTGGATAAGCCCTTGTATGAGGAGAAGTTTAATCATCTCTGTACTCTCCATTTCCAGTGAAAAGAGAAGAGGAAAGTGAAATCAGATCTGATCTTACTCAAGCCTCTAATTAACAGAACCAGAATGAAAGCTCTGCTAGACTGTGGTGCTACAAGGAATTTTATTTCCCCAAATGAAGTTGAGAAACTTCATCTGGGACTCAAGGTCACGGAC